GGGGGTCGCTGGCGTCTGACCACGTGTAGGGAGAGCGAGTGAAGGAGCCGTAGCACCTGTAGGCCCCGCTGTGGGCTGGGGTCCCAGGACCCAGAGGGAACTCAGCCTGGAGTGCTCCGCGGGGGCCCCGCCGTCCAGTGAGCGGGCGCCCAAGGTTCTCCCCCTCCCTGAGCAGATGGAACTGGTCAAAGGTGCGCTCGGAGCTGCAGAGCAAGGTCATGTTCTCTCCTGACCTCACCACGGGGCCCCCCTGGGCTGAGAGAGAGGGTTTCTTGAACAGACCTGGAAGGAGGAGACCTTGATATTAGAGCAAAATGTACCTCTAGTCCTAAATTTAGGACTAAAGCCTGAAGTGAGCAACAAGAGAAACATTGCAATGAGAAGGCCGCCCACCACCAGGAGAGAAAGCCCCACAGCAACGAATACCCGGCACAGGGGAAAATTCTTTAAAAATGGATTGTCATCTAAAATCCTTTTTAAAAAATAATTTTTAAAATGGATTGCCACTTAAAATAATTTTTTAAAAAAGAAATATATGTATATGAACAACTGAATCACTCTAATGTACAAGAGGAATTAGCATCTTAAACTGACTAGAATTCAACAAAAAAGCAAAAAGATAATTTAAAAATCAATCAGATTGGGCTGCTCTTGAAAAACAGAACCTACTACCTACTGCTGGGACCATCAGAAAACATGGTATTGACCCAGAAGCAGACATTATGTGGTGGAAATTGCCAGAATGTCACAGGATCTTTGACCACTTCAAACTTGAAGGAGTGTTCAGTGCTGCCCTGCCCACCCCCAGGGGTGAAAGGGACTCCTTAGTGGGGAGGGTTGGCAGGGACCACTCCCCCCTGTTTGTGCAGAAGGACGCATTAAACCACGAGGCTGAGCAACTTCAGGGTGTCAACCTCCATCTCGATCCCCCAGGGGCCAGACTGCAAGGGCATCTGGTACCACAGTGCTTCTGACAGAGGAAGGGAGCTCTGACATGAAGGCGGGAAGCCAGCCCCTTAAGCAACCATCGTTGGTGCCTGAGCCGGGAACAGCCGGGGTCCCTGCTCTGTACATCTTTCTCCATTGCTCGTTCTTTCACATTCTTGCTGCTTCACTATGTCACCGGCGGTGTCTTCTCTTTAGCACAGGGCAGGTGCTCTGTTCTCTTTCCCTTCCGTGTTCACACCTCCTCTCTCTCTGGCTTGTTCCCTCTCCCGAGTGTGTGAGCATCTCTGCACACCTGTCATTGTCTCCCGGTACTGATGCTGGACTGGACACCAGACCTTCTGTGACACAGACAGCAGAAGGGACTGGTCTGGACACACTCACCTGTGATGACGATGTCCACGGGGTCGCTGGGGGCTGACCACTCATAGGGGGAGCGGCTGAGAGAGCCATAGCATCGGTAGGTGCCCGCACTCCCCGAGGTCATGGGGCCAATGGAGAAGTCAGCTGGGGCATGCCCGCCCATGAACGTCTCTCCACGTGTCCGGAAATTCCCTGTGCTTTTTTCCTGGTGCAGGATAAACTTGTCAAACAACAGCTCTGATTGACAGCGAAGGGTCACATTCCTTCCCACCTGCACGAGGGAGCCTGGGTGGGCTGAGATGGCAGGTTTTGTGAACACACCTAGGAGTAAAGAGGTTGTGAGCTTCATTGAGTCACCCCACCTCGGCGCTTCCCCTGACATTTGAAGGTGTGAGAAATGTTCCCGTGAACCAGCAGAGCCAATTACCCTTCCTGTCTGTTCTGTGGCATTCTCTCTAGCCTTGTTCTCAGGTCTTGCTCATGCTTTTCTGTTTCTCTTTGCTTAAGACCTCCAGCCTCCTCTGTGCTTATTCTAAACTCTTTAGCTGCTGGATCTGCTCTCAGCTTCATGCAACCATACTCAGTCACTTCACTCATGTCTGACTCTGTGGGACCCCATGGACCATAACCTGCCAGGCTCCTCTATCCACGGGATTCTCCGGGTGAGAATACTGGAGTGGGTTGCCTTGCTCTCAGTTTCATCCCGTCCCTAATATGCGTGGTGGGGAGCTGGGTGGTTCGGAGGATGCATACCCTCTCTCCCTTCACACTCAGATAGAATGTGGGTGATGACTGGCAGGACATTGGGATGGAGGCGGAGAAAAGGGAACATTTCCCATTTGACCCCATCTCATACCTCTGGGGACTTTCCTGAGACTCCTCCCTGGGGCTCCAGCTCCTTCATCGGGGCTTACAGCTCCCTACTGCGTGGCAGGTGCTGGATCAGGGTCGTTCCCCATACCCCTGCTGGCAGGCAGTGGCCGAATCTTGTCTAACTAATGCCGAGGGAGTCTCCCTTCCTGAGCTGGGCACCCCATCTATTCAACACCCAGAGTTTAAACTCTCAGACTGGGTTCTCTTTCCTGGTTCATTTCTGGCTAGGAATCACTAAGTCTTGAACCACATAAGGAACTTGGACCTAGAGTGGGATTGCCTGCATAGAAGGCTGTCCCGGCCTTGGCTGGACCCCTCCTACCTGTGACCACAATCTGCAGGGGGTCACTCTTTCTGGAAAACAGAGGGAGAAGCCTGGAGAATCCAGAACACATGTAGGACCCAGCATGTTCTCCGGTCACCGGGCCAAGGGTGAAGTTGTTGAAATGATTTCCCCGGAGGGCAGACAAACTGGTCCCATCTGTTTTGAACAGTCTGAATCTCTTAAGTGGAGAACGGAAGTGACACCGGAGAGTCACAGTCTGTCCTAAGGGAACCACGGGGCTTGGCCAGGCTGACAAAGAGGGCTTGTCATATTCACCTAGGACAGAAGGAGGCACAGGCTTTGAGAGGAAAATAAGAATGGTCCCCTCTCCCCACTGCTTTGTTGGAGTGTTTCCGCTTCAATTCTTCCAAGGCACCAACTCTAAAGTGCATCACCCTGATACTGAAGGACATCTGGGGCTTGGGGACAGACAGAGACACAGTCAACCCAGGACAGACATCACGGAGATTCTGAGAATGTGATTCTCAGCAGTGATTCTTCTCAGGAGAAGAATGACTCCTTGGATTGACAAAATGTTGAAAACTCTCTCAAAACACGAAACACTGGGGATTCCCAGGTGGTCCAGTGGTTAGGACTTAGCACTTTTCCCACCAAGGGCCCAGGTTGACTCCCTCATCAGGAAACTGAGATCCTGCACACTGCGCGATGCATGCAAAAGGAAACACCACAGAAAAATGATGAGTGGTAAAGAAGTGAAAGGACTTCCGTGTTGCATTTGTTGTAGCTCAAACGGTAAAGAATCTTCCTAAAATGCAGGAGAGCAGGGTTCAGTCCCCAGGTAGGGAAGATGCCTTGGAGAAGGAAATGGCAACGCACTCCAGTATTCTTGCCTGGAGAACCCCATGGACAGAGGAGCCTGGTGAGCTACAGTCCATGGGGTCACAGAGTCAGACTTGACAGAGTGACTGACAGTAACACAACTAAGAAGAGAAAAAGCCACTTGACTGAAAAGAATGAAGGAAACCATGAACCTCCCTCCTTTGTTAGCTAGCCTCCATCAAATGTGTGACCAGGTCCAGGTGGCCCTGCCTGATGCCCAGCCCCTGCCCTGGGGTCAGGTGTAGCGGCGGTCCTGCAGATCCTGTTGCTAAGGGCCGGTTGGAGATGCCACCTTGTTGGAGAGGGGTCTGTGGGCTGCAGCCCTTGCTCCCCTCTCATGATAGAAATGGCACTCAGGGGGCCCAGCTCCCACCTCCCAGACTTCACACTGTGCCTTCAGGTCGAGAGTCCAGAGCCGGGCTAACCTCTGGGGAGAGTAAAGATGAGTATCAAAGCCAATAGACCTCGGATCCATAGGGCACGCGGCTCTCACTGTACTGACAGGGGTCTCACCCCGCCCCCCCACCGTCATCTGCCTCAGCCCTGCCTTCTCTGCTCAACACAGAAGTAAGGGATGGGGAGGACTCACCCACAGCTGCCCAGATCCTCAGACTCACACAGAATCCTAGAAGGAAAAGCCTGTCAGAGATGGCTTGTCCTGATGGACCCCACGCTCCTTGCACCCTCATCCAGGGAACCTGGTCAGTGCTGTGAAGACCCCCGATTTCCACCATAAATCTCTCCTATAGGGTCTTTCCAGACTTACCGAGACTCAGGAGGCTGAGGAGTGTGGGCCACATGGCTCTGCTTCTGTGAGGCAGGAGGCAGGACTGAGCAAAGCTGACCGAGTCACAGGATGCGGAAGGCGGGCGGTGTTGTTCATACAGTCAGCCTGGTGCATGTCACAGGGGAAGATGGGCAGCCTCTTTTCACGCCAGGGATGGAAGTCTGTCTGAGCCTCATCACTGAGGTGGCTTCATGACCTGAGCATCAATTTTGTTTCCCTGAACACTATATACATAGGAGGATTGGAACAGGTCTTGCTGCCGTCAGGAAGTAGAAACAGTGATTCTGTGTATAGCATGCAGGATGCTTTCCCCAAGCTCATGATAAATCTCATTAACCTTAACTCTTTGCAGAAGAGAAACCACATGTACCCACCTGGTATCTCAGGCTCAGTGCAGGTTGCCAATTAAAGTCTCATTAATAGAGACTTTCATTCTGCATTCTTTTAAGAGGAACAGTCATGCATATTATGGCTCTTTGAAAATATTAAAAAATTCTATATTGTAATATATGTGATTAAGAAACTAACTGTGTTAGTTTCAGCTGTACAACAAAGTGAATCAGTTATACATATACATGCATCTGTTGCTTTCAAACTCTTTTCCCACTTAGGTAGTTACAGAATGTTAAGTAGAACTCTCTGTTTTAACAGTGGGTCCTTGTTGGTCATCCATCTTAAATATAGCCGTGTGTATATGTCAATCCTAAACTTTCAAGCTAACCTCCCCCTGACACTATCCTCCCTGGTATCCATAAGTTCATTCTCTGTGTGTCTGTTTTGTAAATAAGTTCATTTTTTTAGATATCACAAAGAAGTGATATCATGTGACATTTGTCTTTCTCTGACTCTTCTTCATCTGAAATTATTTTGTGACTGTGAGTGGAAACTTTGCACACACACACACTGTCTCTCTCTCTTGCTCCCTTTCTAATCCAAGGACCACACATGTACACAAAGATAATGTGTGTAAAGATCACGGTGGCATTTTTTGGGAGGGGGACTTGTTCTGCCTGAAACGGTGGACAACCTTGCTTACTACATACTCAAATGAACACAAAATATGTCAAGTAGAGACTTTCAAGCTCCAGAATGCTTGAGTGAGGGGCATATCTGCAATCAACTCCAAACAGGGACAAAACGACCCAGCTGTTTCAGGACTCAAAGGGCAGACATACACCCAGTTCAGCTGTTGTTCATAAACAGGAAAGAACCTCAGTAAGGGCAGTGATTCCACACCACTTGGCTGAGGGTGGGGGTTGTTAATATTAGTGATGTGCCCTAAGTAATAAATGTGGTCTCCTCTTGATCATTCTGTATGTAATGGAGTAACAGTCCAGTCACCCTTCTTAAAATTTCCTTTTATTTACTTAATATCATGTTCCAGAATTGATCTGTGTTCTTTGTCATTTCAGTGTGTGCATTTTTACTGCCAAGTAATGTTTCATTGCAGGTATATAAACCACAGATTTTTAAAAGTTAAGAAAAATTTTGGAGTGTAGTTTATGTCTCCTGTACAGAAAATTGATTCAGCTCAACATATATATTCTTTTCCATTATGATTTATGGCGAGATACTGAATAGAAGTCCCTGTGCCATGCTGCAGGACCTCAGTGTTAATCCACTTTATGTATAAATAGATTTCATCTGCCAATCCCAAGCTCCCAATCCTTCCCTCCCCCTTGGCAACCACAAGCCTGTTCTCTATGTCTGTGAGTCTGTTCCTGTTTCATTGATATGCTCCTTTTAGAGTCCACATATGGGTGATGTCACATGATAATTGTCTTTCTCTTTCTGTCTTACTTCACTTATATGTTAATATCCAGGTCCATCCATGCTGCTGCAAATCTCATGACTTCATTTTTTAAATGTCTGAGTAGTATTCCATTGTGTGTGTGTTTAGGCGTATACAACATCTTCTTTATCCATTCATCTGTTGATGGACATTTAGGCTGTTCCCATGTCTTGACTATTTCAAGTTGTGCTGCTATGAACACAGGAGTGCATGAATCTTTTCAAGGTACAGTTTTGTCATAGATATACATTCGGGGTTGGAATTGTTGGATCCCATGGAAACTCAGTTGTTAGTTTTTTGAGGAACCTCCATACTGTTTTCCACAGTGGCTGCACCAGTTTACACTCTCCCAACAGTGTAAGAGGGTTTCCCTCTTCTCCACATGCTCTCCTGCATCTATTTTTCATCAACTGTTTAATGATGGCCATTCTGATTGGTATGAGGTGTACCTCATTGCAGTGTCAAATGGCCTTTCTCTACTAATTAGCAATGCCGAGCATCTTTCCATATGCCTGTTGGCCATCTGTGTATCTTCTTTTAAACCACAGATATCAATTGTGAGAGTGATGTCTTTGGTTTTTGTCTAAAATGAACGACACCTCTGCTAAAGCTTCATGAATGTGCTCTGAGTCCAACCTCACATTTCTTTCTTTTTTTAAAATTTATTTATTTATCTATTTTTATTAGTTGGAGGCCAATTACTTCACAATATTGTAGTGGATTTTGTCATACATTGACATGAATCAGCCATGGATTTACATGTGTTCCCCATCCCGATCCCCCCTCCCACCTCCCTCTCCACCCGATTCCTCTGGGTCTTCCCAGTGCACCAGGCCCGAGCACTTGTCTCATGCATCCCACCTGGGCTGGTGATCTGTTTCACCCTAGATAATATACAT